ACGAGGTGTTGGCCCAGGTGGCATTGAATTGACATGGCAAAGTTTCCTTTGATGTCATGCACCCCCTCACACTGAGTCCTGGCATCCCACACACTGCTGCCCCGTCACTCAGAGGTGGTTGCTTGCTTCCCATGCTCCTTCGCGCACCTCTCCTGGGAGTGGGCTTCAGCGACTGCCTGACACGTGGCATTGCTGGGCTTCCCAACTGGGTAGATTCCCCTGGAATTGGAGTTTTAAAGGGCTTGATTTGTTGTTTTTGATAATTTGTCTTACTTTGTTATTGTTGAGAGAATACGCACAGTGGCGCGGTTTCTACATGGACACTTCCTTGACGTTGCTGACATTCTTGGACTTACGTATCCATCGTCACCTTCCTTTGCTGACTTGTTCCTCCCTTGTGAACATAAACAAACTGCCTCCTAAGTCTCCTTTCTAATCTTTGAGATTGCTGTTGTCAGTTTGATCCCGTAAATAAAGACCACTGTGTTCAGAGTAGACATTCCTTACTAGTGAGGCCAAATGATTCTTTGGTTTGAAGAAGGGATATTTTCAGCTTAAGGTTTACGGATTAGCTCAAACCTTCACCCAAATCACAGTCAAATGTTCAAATGGAAAAAAAAAAAAAAAAAGATCTTATACCAAAAATGTCCCCTGAAGTCTTCTTAAAAACCAATCATTTAGTTTTGTTAAATGCCACCGAGTTGACTCAGATTCATAGCGACCTTGTATAGGGTTTCCAAGGAGTAGCTGGTGAGCTTGAACTGCCGACCTTGTGGTTCAAACCAACTTTGCAGTCCAGCACATAACCCACAGCACCATTAACTAGTAGAAAATGTTTGCTTTGAGCATTATGTTCTTTTAAGAGCTATCTTTATGGAATCAAATTAACAAAAGCAACTGTAAAGGTCGGATAGGAACCTTAGGGGCAGTGACTTTATTCAATTAACATCACTGAATTGCACATGTAAAAATTTCTGGATGTATGCTCTTCTGTGTATATTCTTAACAATGATAAAAATATGTATATATTTTAATAAAAAGACATGGTCTCAGAGCAGTAGTTTCTGGGGTTCATCTAGCCACAGTGGCTCCAGAAAGTCTGGATTCCATGAGAATTTTAAATTCTGCTCTGCATTTCCCCCCCTTTTGATCAGGATTCTTTTTTAGAATCTCTTATAATGTTCAGTAGTGGTACCTGGGCACCATCCAGTTCAAGGCCTTGATTTGGATCTGTTTGATGGGCCATCTTCTCCACAGTTTGGCAGCTCATGCGTATTTGTGTACTTCTGTGGTGCTGTGGTGGGAAAAGATGAGGCTTCCTGCCCCCGGAAAGATTTACAGCCTTGGAAACCCTGTACAGGGTTGCTATGAGTTGGAAACAACTCCACAGCTCATCATAACCATGACAATGTGGTGCTGTGGGATAAACACTGGACTGCTAAGCGCAAGGTCAATAGTTCAAACCCACCAGCTGCTGCAAGGGAGAAAGAGGAGTCTTTCTGCTCCCATAATGATTTGCAGCCTTGGACACTCTATGCAGGGACGCTATGAATTGGAGTCAACTTGACTGCAGTAAGTTCGGTTTGTTTGTTTTTTTTGTTTAGGTCTTAAGCCTAGGTTTCTGAATGGTGTCAACAGTTTGCACGTAACTACTAACCTAAAGGTTGGCAGTTTGAACCACCTAGTGGCGTCCCCATGGAAGAAGGACCTGGTAATCCGTTTCCACCATAACCCCATGGAGAGTTCAGTTCTATTATGGAACACATGGGTTTGCCATGAGTTGTCCAGTGGGTCTGGTGCTTGGGCTTTCTCGTAAGCTTGCAGTGGTTTTCCTCTTTGCCCACTGGGTTTGTAAGTCCCCATTCCTTGGCTGCATGGCCCAGGCCCTTCGACCCCCACACAGCTAGAAAAGGTCCAGCATGACCCTTTTTCCCTCTGACATTCCTGAAGTTGCAGTCACGCCTTCCTTCCATTGAGGCCATCCAGAACATTCCTTACCGCCATCTGTTTATGGCATCTAGGCACGAGAGAGAACAGGGTGAAGGAGGTGGAGTCCGTGTTTGGAAAACAGTCACTGGAATAGTTGAGGAATCAAGAATGAAGTTAGAGGAGGCCAAGATAGACTCAGCTACTGTGAACACAGCGTCTCTGTGATGGGCAGTCTCTGGCTAGGGTCCCCAGTGTCCTGTCAGCTCCTCTCTGGTCTTCTTGTGCCCTTTGTTCCACTCACCACAGCCATGAAGGGGTGGGAGACTCCCTGGTCCTTTCAGGTGCTTTAACGAGGTGTTGGCCCAGGTGGCATTGAATTGACATGGCAAAGTTTCCTTTGATGTCATGCACCCCCTCACACTGAGTCCTGGCATCCCACACACTCAGAGGTGGTTGCTTGCTTCCCATGCTCCTTCGCGCACCTCTCCTGGGAGTGGGCTTCAGCGATGGATTTGTTTTCATTGTGTGCTCAAACCCCTGAGTGAAATTGGGCCTCCCCTTGTCTTGCAGGAGGAGGAGCTGGACCCAGCCGGTGAGAAGAACCTACCCCGAGGAGATGAGCCCGAGGAAGAAGACGAAGTCGGTGAGAGGCGTCTGGTCCCCTGATGTACATCCCTGCCCTCACTAAGGGCTTTTGGGAAGGGAGTGTGGGGAGCATTTAGAGAGGGGCTGAGAGCTGAATGTGCCACAGCCCCCCACCTCCGAGGGTGTCCCAGCAAAGTCCTGCTCGCTGCTGACTTCTGCACTCCATTGTCTGCCTACAGCAGCGCCCATCTCCTTTGCACCGTGGGTCTTGGCTTTTCCACCTGTAAAAGTGAGTTGTCTCCTGCAAGTGAGTTGTCTCCTGCTATCGGGGACCCTCTCGAGAACCGCCGAGATATTATGTCCTGTGGTATTAGCAGCACCCTAGGGTCCTGGCAGTGCTGAGACAAAGGACCACAAACAACACAGTTCTGCCGGCCGAGGCTCTGAGATCAGGGCGTGGTGATTGTGCTCCGAGTCTTCTGGGGACAGCTGGCCAGGCTTGGCGCTCCTTGGTTTGTGGTTATGTGCCGTGGAGTCGGAACCTACTCATAGCGACCCTCTACAGGGTTCCCGAGGCTGTAAATCCTTATGGGATCAGAAAGCCTCATCTTTCTCCCGCAGAACAGCTGGTAGTTTCGAACTGCTGACCTTGCAGTCAGCAGCCCGATTGGTAACCACTACACTACCAGAGCTCCTCGGCTTGTAGGTCACTCCATTGTCTGCCCTCTGTGTCTCTTCTCCTCTTTTATAAGGATGCCACTCAGGTTGGCTTAGGAACCCCCTACTCCAGAATGCTAGCTGATAACATCTTCAAAGACCCCCAAGGTCACGTTCACAAGTTCCAGGGTTAGGACTTCAGCAGATCTTTTTTTTGGGGAGAGAGTCAGGATTTAATCCATCTATCTATAACTACCCCTTGTCACCTTCTGTGTGTTTCATATTTCTCCTGAAGTGTCTTTTTTTTTTTTTTTTTTAATAGTGCCTGGAGTGGCGCTGTAGGATAAGCACTGGACTGCTAACTATGAGGTTGGAGGTTCACACCCACCAGCCGTTCCTAAGAAATCCTATACAGGGTTGCTATGAGTCAGAACCAACTGAATGGCACTTAATGGTATCCTTCCAGGAGTCCAGGTGTGGTGCTGTTGGATAAGCACTGGACTGCTAACCTCAGTGTCAGCAGTTCAAACCCACCAGCCATTCTGCGGGAGGGAAATGAGGCTCTCTGTCCCTGTAAAGATTCAGTCTCAGAAATTCTATGTAGCGTCCCTGTGAGTTGGAAGCGACTTACTGGCAGTGGATTTGGTTTGGTTTTGGTATAATCTCCTCACAAGGTACCCTGGGGGTGCAGCTTACAGTTAAGCATTTGATTGCTGACTGAAAGGTCGGCAGTTTGAACCTACCAACCACTCCGCTGGCAAAAGACATGACAATCTACCGACAATCTACCTCAGTAAAGATGACAGCTCTGTCCTCTAGGATTGCTAGGAGTTAGAGTCAACTCAGCAGCAATGGGTTTGGGCCTTTTTCTGGTTTAATGTCCTCATGAAACCTCTAAATGAAGGTCTCCAAGAGGAAACGCCACATTGCTGAGTAGCTCAGCTGACTAATGGGATCTGCCCTAGTCGTTGGGTTCCTGGAGGCTCCCAAGAGGAAAATAAGAAAGCTGATCAAGGGAGCGTCATCCAGAGGAAGCATGTTTGTCACGACAGAGACGGAGCAGGACACATCACAGGGCTTTAGCTGCATCTCCCACGTTGCATTCCTGAAAAATCAAAGAAACTAAAGGGCATCCAGCAAGATGCCAACATTTGTGACATCTATGTAGGAGGTGCCTGTGTGTGTGTGTGTGTGTGTGTGTGTGTGTGTGAAATATTCCATCGTTGTAAACGAGCTCGATTGTACTGCAACTTCAAGTCCTGCTGCTGACAGGAGGAAAGAGGGGACACAGGGCTGGGGGGCACAGCTCCCCCATGAGGCTGAAGTAGGGAGGCTTCCATCCATATAGAAGCTGGAGGACAGGCGGTGGGTTGATGAGGTACGACTCAGCCTTTACCAGGGAGGGCCCACATTTTCCCAGGTCATCCTGGTTCCCCCAGATCATCCAGGATTTGGGAAGCACAGTTTGTTACCCTGGGGTCTGTCCCTGCCTCGTGGGTCCTGTTAGTGACTTGGAGACTTAGAGGGAGGTTAAGGTGGCTGGGGTCCCTGAGTTAGGACAAGGGGAGGGTCTCTGCAGGTGACAGCAGTTATCAACTAACCTCCCTATCTGAGCTGTGGCCCCTGGACAGCCCTAGCTCCAGCCACCTCCTTCCCAGGCTGATGAGGCAGAGGGAGGAAGGGCCATGGCCCCAGCTGCCAGAAGAGACCCCAGGACTAAAAGCAGGTCATCCTAGAGCTGACTTCCCTGAGGGGCTACATGGATTCCTAGCCATCGGAGGAGGAAGCCCCACCCCCATCTCCAACCCTGAGGGGCTGTCACCTGGAACCCTTGTGGTCTTAGCAGGATTGGCTATGTTTATGCCCCTGGGAGACTGAGTTTGATTGAGACTTTACAGGGCTTGCACTATAGCTGGCATTATAAAACACAACCACATCTCCGGTCTGCTCCAGAGACGGTAGCCTAGAGTGGTGCCAAGCTGGCGGATTTTGGATGTTTTTATTTTGTCTGAAACACAGCCACACGCTATTCCGTGGAGATGAGGTGTTTTTCTGCACTGGTAGCTTTTCTGAGAAGGCTGCTGGCTCCGTGTAATTCAGACAGCAGGGCCCCCAGCTCCTCCAGGGAGCAGGCGGCAGCTCTTGAGTATTCAGAATCCATCCCGAGTCCTTCATGCATCCTGTCCAGACACTGTCCTGGGAGGAACTCCTGGATCCACGACCTGGAATGTTTAGTTCACACGCTGGGAAGGTCAGGGAGGGGTGACCTATTCCTGCTCCAGGCCCCCAGATTCCCATCTTGGGGTGATGGAAGCCCCTCACCCACCCCACATATCCTCTCTCTGTGGCAGTATCCTCTGTCCCCTGGCTCCCCCATCCTAATCCCACTGCCCCTCAGCTGGTCCTCAGAACCGGGGACAGGCTCCCCTGGCCCTCTGCTTGGATCGGACTCCCCAGACACCACAGCCTCACCTCCTGTAACACATCCCCTCTCCCCCACACACTCCATTTTAGCATTGGCGCAGTCCCTCCCACCCTCCTCTCATCTCTGCCTCCTTCTTCTGACCAGCTGGCAGGCTGCACATTGTCACGGCTGTTTCTTTTCTTTCCTGCTGCAGCCCCAGCAAGAAGCCCTGGTCGGCGCTGTGGGCTAAGCATTGGCCTGCTAGCCACAAGATCAGAGGTTCAAACCCACCAGGACTCCCTATAAAGATGATAGCCTTGGAAACCATATGGGGCAGTTCTACTCTGGTCAGTAGGGTCTGATGTATTGTTTTACATAGGTGCTGTCTGGGGAGTGGCTCAGGGAGATGATCTGTAGAAGAGCATGGGGCCGGGAAGCAAATTTCAATGAACCGGAAACAAAACGCCCATCATACATTGTTTGAGTCCAGAATTTACAGCCAGATTCCGCTGAGGTCCTGGTCTGACGGCTCCTGAAGGCACCTGGAGGTGTTTCAGATCTGATACTGGTGTTGGGGGAGAGCCAGACGCTTCTGAAACAGCATCCTTCCCCCATCCCAGGGGAGGCAGGGGAGGGGTTTGCTCATCTCTCCTGTGGCTGACTGGGTTCTTTATATACATGAATGGAAATCTAGTGAGATGAACCAGGCAGACGCCAGTGAGGGCATTTTGCTTTTGTGGTGAAGAGTTCTCTCCAGCAGCTTACATCAGAGGAATTTTTAGGGTCGTTCTCTTCGTCCCTTGTCCCCTGAGCTCCGATCCTCTCTCCCTGCTCTGCTCCCAGTCCAAGCCTCCAGTCCCTGTCACGTTCTTGCCTTCCTGTCCCAGCCCCAGTGTGACCCCCACTCCCCACTCTGTGTGTTGGAGGCAGCAGCTGGCTGGCTTAGGGACTGGAGGATCCAGTGGGCCTCTTCAACAATGCCAGCCGGATTTGGTAACTGACTTCAAACACACCAAAAACACCCACATGACTCTCTCCCCACTGTGGTCTGGGTTGATGTTTTTTTTTTTTTATCCTCTGTCTCTAAATTCAAATAACCGTATGTGTGTGTGAGAGTGATGCAGTCCTGGTGGTGCAGCATGGGGCTGCTAACCTCAAGATCAGCAGTTCAAATCCACCAGCCACTATGAAAGGTGATGCTGTTGTTTTAAATCCTATAAAGATTTACCGCCTCAGAAGCCCTTTGGAGCAGTTCTGCTAGGATCACTGTGAGTCGGAATGGCCTCAATGGCAGTGTGTGTGTGTGTGTGTGTGTGTGTGTGTGTGTGTGTGTGCTGAGCGGAAGGACTGAGGGCTGGCTGGCTAACATTACAACGTGTGGCATCTGACCAGCAAGGTTTGGGATTTCTGGACTGACCAACCATTTAGGAGGTGGAGGGGCTCAGCAGCTTGCTGTTTCATGCTGGCAGGCGTCCACTGGACCTGGGACCCAGGGGAGTGGACAGCCAGCGCTGGGCTCCAGAGATAAGCCTTCCATGCGCCTGTCTGGCGGCTGCTGTTGAATTAGCGTGGACGGATGGTATGCCAAGATGGTGTGCCTCAGTCCTGAGGTCCCAACTGCCGCTTTTGGGTCGGGGAGCCTCATTCAGTGAAGGTTGCTGTCAGGTGCAGCAATGAAGTGGGAAGAAAATGCCGCTCGGAGGCCTGACACGTGGGTGGGGACCGATTTGCCCCTCTTTGAAGTGGGTGGGGACTCTCTGATCTACTAGATGTTTTTTTTGCAATGTACCCAGGGGAAGTGGACTCCATGTTGGTGGGGGAGCCCTGAAGCCACACCTGTCCTTTGCTCTCACCTGGCCTTTCTCTCTGCAGGTGAGGGGACCTTTTCCTTCAAATACAGCCCTGGGAAGCTGCGGGGGAACCAGTACAAGCAGATGATGACCAAGGAGGAGCTGGAGGAGGAGCAAAGGTATGCGCACCAGTGTGTCCTCCGTGTGGACCCCCGTGGACTCTCTTATCCCTTAATTTAGAAGACCATACAGGGGCACAGTCCTCTGGTTAGGTTTGGGGGTTCCTTCCTATCCTCTCATCTCCAGCTAAAGGTGGCCCTGTGGACTAGACGCTAGGCTGCTAACCAAAAGGTTGGCTGTTCAAACCCACCAGCTGCTCCCAGGGGGAAAGATGAGGCTATCTGCTCCCGTCAAGATCTATAGTCTTTGAAACGCCACGTAGTGTCGCTATGAATCAAAATTGACTTGATGGCAGTGCTATTTCGGTTTAATTTTCAGCCAGGGGGTCCTAGTGGCACAGTGTGTTAAACAATGAGCTGTTAACCAAAAGCTAATGGTTGAGGGGGAGGGAAAGATCAGTGGTTCGAGCCTGCCAGACACTCTTTGAGAGAACAACGGGCAATGTGCTTCTGTAAAGATGATACCCTTGGAACCCCTGGGGGGCAGTTCTTTCTTTGTCCTACAGCCTAGCACACAATGAGTGGGAACCAACGCCACCACACACATTAACAACCATCTTTAGCCAAACCCAGTGTCCCTGGGTTCCTTCGGAGCCCCCGTGTGGAGAGGAGACAGGAGCAGAAGAGACAGAGAGCCCTTAGGGGGGTTCACCCCACCCTCATGGCTGCCCCTCACCCTCCCCCATCAAAAGAAAAAAACCAACAACAGAAAATTGCCTTGCCAGGGAAAAGCCTGGGGCAGACTCAGCTGCTCACTTACACAGAGTCCTTGACAAAACCAATTTATCAGCCTGGACAAAGCAGGATTCTCTGCGCTCATCCGGCCGGCAGCTCCCCGCCCAGCACCCGCCTGTAATTTGGATCGGTTCTGCTCTGTGAGGCTCAGAAGGCCACCGACGCTGTGCATTGCCTTGCTTTTAGAATTTGTCCCCCGCCTCCCTAGAACCCCCCTCTGCCCCCAGCTCCCTGAGGACTTCCCACAGCATTTTCTCTTAACTGTGTCCTGCCAGGGGCGCGGGAGAACATTCTAGAAGCCAGGCTGCAGGAGAGAGTGGGTGCACAGGGGCTTGCATGACCACTCTGATAACACAGAGTCTAAAGGAGCCCTGGGGTGGCGCTGTGGGTTAATGCGCCAGACTGCAAAGCCGTTTGAACTGCAAGATCGGCGGTTCAAGCTCACCAGTTGCTCCTTGGAAACCCTATACAGGGTCGTTATGGGTCGGAATCTACTTGACGGCACTTCACAACAACAACAACAAAGGGGCGCTGGAGGGGCTTGCTGTGAACTAGCAGCATGTTAGAGTCTGGAAGCTGAGGAAGAAGGTTTATTATTTCAGAACGTAGAACTCATGACACTTTCAGTACTTTGTTTACCAGGCTACCAGTATCTCTCAGAAGTTAGAAATCTGCCCCTGAGAATCCATTTCCCCCTTCCAAGGAGCCCTGGTGGCGCTGTGGGTTAGGTAGTAGGCGGTTCAAACCCACCAGCAGCTCTAAGGGAGAAAACAACTCGAGTGGGTTTGGGTGTTGTCATGGACTCCTTCAAGCCCCACCCCACCCCGGACCACCACCAGGGAAGCCCTCCATGGGGCTGGAGAAAAACCATAGGGGAAGATGCACGCCACTGTGCGCCCCTATCCCCCCACTCCCACCCAGCAACAGGTCCTAATGATGCTGTCTCTTGGTGTGACCCAGTTCAATGCCTTTATGTTGCAGGATTGAGCTGACCTCTGACCTCACTTCCTTGTAGCGAGTTCCTTAGGGTCCTGAGCCACAAAAATCCTTGCAAATCCTTTTGGTAAGGAGATTGGTTTCTTAGACTAGCTTCCGTCATACTGCGCTAATGTGTTCCCAACACAGCTGACGCGATCTAAACTTCCCTTCCCTCATCCCCTCCATAACCAATTAATACCCGTGCCCCACCTGAGCTCCGGCTCAGCTCATTCTTCTCCATGGCCAGGACCCCTGCAGAACAGGCGGGGTCAACTCTGGGGCGCTACTGCCCCCTTGTGAAGCTCCGGGAGAAGTGCAGTTCTGAGACCTCAAGGGGGCGCTGTCACCCTGCAGTGCTCTCATGCTTTATTTAGTTTACTAAGCGGTACAGGCTGAGCCCCTGAATTGTGGCATGGGCAGGTTTTTGTGAGAGTGAGGGCTCACAAAGTAAGGCCCGAGGGCCAAATCTGGCCCCCTTCCTTTATCTGTAAATACAGTGTTCAGTTCCCCCCACCCACCCCCATTGCCCGTGGCTGTTTGCCTTACAACGATTTAGTTAAGATGGAGACCCTGTGGCCTTCAACACCTAAAAGATTTGCTGTCTGGCCCTTACTGGGAAGGTTTACAGCCCCTGGATTAGCTCTCCCATGGGATCCCCATAGACCTTGGTCTGTTCTGTGCGTCTGGAGGGAACTAGCCAGAGGAAAGACTGATTGGTGGGCTGGAGCCAGGCTGGGGCTGGGGTCAGACTCCACTGTCACCCCGTGTTCAGCGCTTGGAAAAAGGGATGGGGGAAATCCCTCCTGTTATATTCAGAGATGGCAGAGTCTCTGTCGCCCCGAGTGGCCTTTTCCAGCTGGGCTGCCCCAAGGTCTCTAAGTTTATACTTTTCAAATCTGTTGGACTCAGGCTGTTGGACCATCACTAGTGACCCTGGGTTCAGAAGGGGGACCAGGTGGACTTTCGCTCCCTGGAGCATGGTCCTCACTGCGTAGTAGCAGAAGTTCCTGACCATTGCCATTCCTGCCCACCCAGCATGTTCCATGTGGCTCTCAGACATGTGTCCTTGCCTGTGACTTGCTTGCTCCCTCCTGCCCTGCATGTGGTCATCCCAGTGTGGGGGCCGCCTTTTGTCCCTCGCATGGTGGGGCTTGGGGTTGTAGAGGCTGCTAAGTTCGGCTTTGGCTTTTCCTCTACAGCACGATAGTTCCCAAAGGGATGGGAATGCTGACGGGTGTTAAGGAGCCACCCTATGACCGTAGGTGTGAAATGTCACCTGTAGGTTATTGTCAAACCAAACCACCAAATGCACAGATCAGGAGAGGGCTACCCTCTCTTTCCCCTGACCAAACTCTGGTGGCTCCTCTGGTCCTTGGATGTACCCCACCAGTCATGTTGTGCATGAGTTAACAAGTAAATCTGGCAAGTCCCCCACCCCAACTCAAATCAGCTGGCCAGCATCAATATCGAGTGGCTCCGTCTCCCTTCAGCTTAGTCAGTGCATTGGGTTCTAGAATACTTCCCCAATTTCCCAGAAGCCTCCTTTCACACATTTTCAGACCATAGAGGTTACAAAGCAGGAGTGAAAGTATAAGAGCCCACGCTGAGGCCCCACGCTACTTCTCTCATGTGTTTCACTGGGCATTTTCATCCTCAGAACTGCTTCTTTGCCTGAGGGGCTGAAGTGGTAGGGTTTGCAAACCCAAAGGTTCTGCTTAAGAAAGTCTTGGTTAAGACCACCTCCTTCCCGGGCAGCCCCTCCTTGGCACGCACAGCTTCACTGGCATCAGCAGTGACTTCGTGGAGTATCTGGGTATCCAGCTGCCCAAAGTGGTGGGGATGAGTGGATACAGGCCCTCTCTCCCTCCCCAGCTAGTAAGGCTGGCAAGGTTCGGCTGGAGGGATAAAAAACACAACTGTGTGTTTGTCCCATCCTCTCCTTGTATGCCATTAGTCCCTCTCACCTTCTGGTCCAGAGGAAAACGGAACCCAGACTGTAGGCCAGGCTGGCATTGATGAGACAGGGACCCAGAACCCCAACACCCATTGTGAAGGGACTGTCCAGACTTCCTGGAAATGACCACGACGCCAGTAGACATAATTTTATTTAGTATAACTGTGTGTCTCTGGTGGGAAGGGTTAAGTGGAGCGACAGGTTGGAGAGCTAGCCAAGCAGGCTGTATTGAGTTTCTAGCGCTGGCAAGAAATGCACGTTGACTCAGACACTCCAGAAGAGGGCGCCAAAGGACAGCGGCTCCACGCTCTCCTTGCTCACTGTATTCCTTTATAAAAGGTAAACGCCCTCCCGCTGGCCTCATTCACGAAGCACGCATCTCAGGGTGCCAGTATCCACATCTCCAACGACAGGGCCATAGATCAGAGACATCCAGGAAAAGAACTGCCTTAGCTACATTAAACAGAGTCCGGGCTGGTGGGCTATTGGGGGTCCGTGCAGGGTCAGGAGGAGCTTGCTAGCACTGAACAGCTTTGTGGAGCAGACTATCTTGCTGCAAGAGAGGAGAAGCAAAGTCCTGTGTGTAGAAACCCACATCTGGTGTGATTCCTGCAATTCCAAACATCCTCCTTCCTCCCAGCCCCTCCTTTCTTCCCTTCCTTGGTACTTGAAAGATGGAATGAGTGCAATAAGTTATCTTTTTCTCCTATTTCTCGTTACAGAACTGAAGAATAATGAAGTTTTCCCTAGCTTCCTCTAAAGCCTGTTTTTGTTTTGTTTTTGGGCATCTTAAAAGCTTGATTGAGAGAGAAAGCCGAAGCCCCACAGAGGAGTCCAGGCAGGCTCCAGGGTGCATCTTGCCTCTGTTGATCTGCTGAGATGGAGACCCTCCATTAGGAATCTCCCCTAGGCCAGCAGGACCAGAATGCTTTTAGCCCTTAGAGCTGAACATCTTGGAGATGTTCACCCCTGTGTACATGGATCCCTTTGCTAAGATGAAAGGTTTTAAGAGTTTTATCTCGGACTCTGGACTTAGATTTTTTTCCTCTCTTTTACCGTTTACTGTATTTTTCCACATACAACATGGATAGAGTTCATAGGAAGCTAACATGTGAGGGAGTTGCATGGTTTGCAAAAAACAGACAATCTGTTCATTATTTACATAAAAACCCAGTAATTTTGCTCTCCACACACCTTCCACGTCTTAAACCAGTTGCCATCCAGTTGGTTTTGACTCACAACGATCCCATGAGTGTCAGAATAGAACTGCGCTCCATAGGGCTTCCAATGACTGATTTGTCAGTGGATCGCCAGACCTTTCTTCTGAGGTGTCTCCCCGTGGACCGGAACCTCCAATCTGTTGGTGAACAGCCAAGCAAGTTCACTGTTTGTACCCCCAGCGACTTCCTTCCCACCTTGGATATCACCACATTCAGCAATGTTGTTGTTAAGTGCCATCTGAGTCAGGACTCAGCTATGTAGACTTTAACAAATACCATTTCATTCTAGTCTGTCCCCCCATGGCTTCCTTAGACAGTCAAATGAGGTAGGGCTAGGCCTGGGCTCTCTGACTCAGTGGGGATCGTCACTCCCTCCTCACCCCCCCCCAGTTTTCTGGTTCCACTTGTCTCCTCTCTGGCTGACTCAGTTATCAGAGTGAGAGATCCATTTTGATCCCTGAGAAGCAAAGAGCAGGGCCAGGGGCTGACGTGAGCCAGTGCCCTATTTTTCCCTTAGAGGGGGTTTGCAGCCGGCCCTCTTGTGGCTCCAGGATCTTTCCATCAGTGTTCTCACCAGCTCGGCTGAATCTCTATCTTCACTCTGGTAAAAGCAATAAGATTGTTCACTTCAAATCATGTCCTTGAATCTGCTTTTCCCCAGAGGTTTCATAGATGCAGTAGAACTTTACCAGAAAGTCAGCACCAGATTAGATTCTGGACTTTTGTATTTGACACTATTTATACCAAACTAATTTGTAGTTTTTCGATTCATTGATAAGCAATATGTCTAGAGAGACTTTTTTTGGTACATCAACCCCTAGGGTGTGTGGCATTCTCAGTGACCCTCTCTGGGCCTCATAGCTTGGCTTAGAGTCAGGGGCTTGGGGCAGAGCAACCACACAACGAACGCCTTCGACACAGAGTCACATGACAAATGATAGAAGATGTACTCTTGTGACCACACATGTCTCCAAACAACAGTAGCAATATCCGTGCCCAGGGTGGGGTCTGACTCCACTAGGGAGGGTCACTTGGGCTTGTCACAGGTCCTGATGGCGGGAGTCTGTGTATTCTGCCTTTGTCCAGTTCCAATAAACTTTGAGTAGATGGTCTTGGTTACTGTGTGTTTCTTCAGTTCTGTTTTGTATGTTTCTTAAATCTTGTTTGAATCCATTAAAATGTGAGCTCTCGGCCTCATTGTCTGTCTCTCTCCCCAGTGAAGGATGAAGTCATGTGCCCATTCTTAAAAATACTCAACTGCCACAGCCAGTTTAAAAAGCCTGAAATTGTGTGTGTTTGCTGAGAGACAACACAGCTGGGTCGTGGTTCCATCCAAGGAGCTCACAGCACACCCTTTACTTCCCAGCACCTCACCCCTGGGGGGCAGCGTCCTATGCACTTGTCACAGACTCCCTCTTCTGTCAAAAGAAAGACTCCCAGCGTGACAGAGGGTCTGGGAATTGAGACTGAGTGTTTCAACTTCTAGATGCTGCTCGGTTTGTAGAAGGAATATGTTGGACGGTGGAAGGGAGGCAGACTTTGAGACCTGTGTTTGGGATATTGGCTTGGAAGCTGCAGCAAAATCCTGGGCTCTGGTGACCTGGAGGGACAATAGCAGGGTCTGGCTGAGGAGGGGGCTGAGAGGTTTGTCCCTATGGCTCAGTGCTCTTCTGCTTAGCAAGGATGGGCTGCCTCTGAGCGGGACAAACAAGAACCACACTGTTCCTTGGTTTGTGTTGTAGAATTTCACTCCACCCTTCAATGCCCATACTCAGGAGGCTTGTCCTGTTAGCTGTGGGTGAGCCTCAAAGATAAAAGAGAACTTTGCACCCAGTCACAGCCCATGTATGGGGAAAAGACTAAGATCAGCCTTCAGCTGGTGAGAAGGAACAAAAAGGGGAAGACACTCTTTCTTGAACAAACCCCACCCACAAGCTGGGTCTCCCCTATGACCAAGCACCCTAGTGTACTGTATACATCCAAGCTCCCCCTCTTTCCCAGCCAGTAGTGCCTCTTTTGCATTTTAAACAAAGCTGTTTGGGAACCTCTCTTCTTTCTCATGGCCTCACTCTGTGATGGGAATTACCAGGAAATGGAAGCTCAGAGAAAACTAAATGAGACTTTGGGGCCCCCAAACCTCCAGGGGAAATTGAGACCTAGAACTTTAGTTTTGAGAGCCCTCGACAGAGATGTATGACACCAATTTCTATGTTTCCCGTGGACTTTGTTTCATTTTATTCTTTTTCTTTGTTGTTGCTTTATTTTCGTGTTGTTGTATTTTAATCAGAAATGCAGACGCAGCTGTAAGGAGAGGGGAGGGCTGTGACTCCACGGTGCCCACCATGTCTCTGCGCAGTGGTCAGGAGCGCCATCTTCCTCTTTGTCCCTTCTTCTTGACAGAGTTCAGAGAGAGCAGCTGGATGCTATCTTCAAGCTCATGAAGGACAACAAGGAGACGTTCGGCGAGATGTCTGACGGGGATATGCAGGAGCAGCTGAGACTCTATGACATGTAGGCCCATCACTGCGCTCCACGCCACCAAAGCCACTGCCCAGCGAGACACCCACGACCTCTGACCTCTAGCTGTGCCTCTGCCTTGGCCCTCGGCCCGGTTGTTAGTTCCAGACTTTTGTAGGCTTACTTGTATTTTATATATACATTGTATACATAGAGGTGTATTATATACAAGCTTGTCCTAGTTGGTTTTGTAGGGATTGGGATTGTTTTATTTGACGGGGAAGGTGTGTGTTCCAGGTTTTGCAGCATGATAAAGCCGCAGACTCCCTCTGCCTTAAGAGGGAAGTTTCTGGAAATTTCTGTGATTGTCAGGAAGCAAGTGGTTGAAGAGAATTCTTTTAGGAGCAAGTTTAATTCAAAGATTCACCGTCCGCCCTAGTATCAGACTTGGATTCCTTTCAGGGTTTCAGCCATTTAAAGCCCGAGACGTACTTAAGTAATAGTCCGCTTTGAGTGCTTTATAATGCAAGCAGAAGAAAGAAGCAGGCTAGATATTGTAGCCAGGAAACATGGAGGACATACAGGCCTTCTTGTTGGGTGCTGTCAAGTTGGTTTTCCACTCATAGTGACCCCACATGCAGAGCAAAACTGTCCCCAGAGGCTGTCACCTTTATAGGTGACATTGCCAGGTCTTTCTCCCTTGGATTGGCTGGTGGGTTTGAACCGACAGCTTATCTGCAGCTGCACCTTTAGCTACTTTACCACCAGGGCTCCTTTGAGTAGGCTTTGTTGCTGTTGTTAAGTGCCGTCAAGTCAATTCTGACTCATGGCGACCCTATAGGGTGTTTCCAAGGAGCGGCTGGTGGGTTTGAACTGTTGACCCTGTGGTTAGCAGTCCAGTGCTGATCCTACAGCCCTACACCTTCGCAAGTGTCAAAGCCCTTTATGGAGGATAGACCATGGCGAGGGACTTGTCAGTTGGCATTCAGTAAAATGCACCTGGGGCACCCTTGGGGCTCAGTACGAGTCTGTGTAAGGGGCTCTGGTGGTGCAGTGGTTAAGCGCTCAGCTGCTAACTGAAAGGTCAGTGGTTTGAACTCGCCAGTTGCTCCATCTAGGGCAGTCTAGTCTCCTCTATGGGGTCTCTCTGAGTCCTAATCGGGACTGACCATACATGTTTCTGACCACCCCACTGGCAGGAACCCCACAATTCTCGAGCAAACTGAATCGGCAGGGGTCTGCTATAGGAAGAACCGGTGAAGGAGTCTTGTACGTGTTTTTATTTGCTGAAAGAAAACTAAAGGAACACTGAATTCAAGATAGGAGCGGTGCTTAAACCCCGCAAGTTTATCGTCAGAGGGCACATGCGCAGTTAATGTCTTTCCATCGTTTCCTGTTGGAGAGTTCTCCTGACCCCTCTCCTCCTCTGTGATTAGAATGTTTTCTGGCTGAAAACTCACACAGTACTTTACACTCTGTGCTGTTATATCCAAATGTCAGTGCTTTTGTATTGTGATCACTGTTGTCATGATTTTTTCTTTTCTTAAATGATTTGTGTGGGTTTTTTTTAGTCAGTGCTTCTTTTATGATTTGACAGTTGATTCCATTCCCCAAGTGTCATCAAAACCACCAAATCCAGCCCCTTGCCATCAACTTGGTTCTGCCTCATAGCCAGCCCTGGTAGCACAGTGGTGGAAGCGCATGCCTGGTGACCAAAAGGTCAGCAGTTTGAGTTCACCAGCTGCTCCGAGGGAGAAAGATGACACCGTCGTCTTCCGTAAACATTGTTGTTGTCAGGTGCCATCGAGTCAGTTCTGACTTATAGTGACCCTACACACAACAGAACAAAACACTGCCCGGTCCTGCGCTAACCTCACAATTGTTACGCTTGAGCCCATTGCTGCTGCCACTGTGCCAATCCATCTTGTTGGGGTCTTGCTCTTCTTGGATGACCCTCCGTTTTACCAAGCATGACGTCCTTCCTTCTCTAGGGATTGGTCCCTCCTGATAATATGCCTGAAGTATGAGAGACAAAGGCTGGCCATCCTGGCTTCTAAGGAGCACTCTGGCTGGATTGTTGCCTTGGAAACCGTAGGGAGCAGCTGTATTCTGCCCCATTAGGTCCTTTGAGTCGGGGACTTCCTTACACTGTCTTATCTGCCTGTCCCCAGAATACACATTAGAAGGCGGGACCAGGGCTGTGGCTTACTTCTATTTCCCCTCCCTGCTTTATTCCCTTATCTGTTCCTCTGTACTTTGGTCCTTGTTTCCTAGTATACCAAACAGAAATGATCCATATGTGCTTGGTTCAGTTCTCACAGTTGTTGAGTGCCGTCGAGTCAGTTCCGACCCATAGGGACCCTGTACAGGGTTTCGAGGCTGTAAATCTTTACGGGAGCAGAAAGCCTCATCTTTCTCCTGCAGAACAGCTGGTAGTTTCAAACTGCTGACCTTAAGGTTCGCAGCCCGATTCATAACCACTACGCTACCAGAGCTCCTTTAGGGGAACGTTCAAAAACAAAAAACAAACCCAACAAAAAACACCAAATTTTTTATTTTTTAACTTTTAAAAAAAAATCTGATTTGGGTAAAAGTTTACAAATTGCTTTGCCACACAACAGTCCCTACACATCTTGTTTTGTTTTCACACTATAACAGCATGCGTCTGCTTCCTTTTGGTTCTCACTTCCATTCTTCCTTCCTCCCCGTACTTTCCTGCCTTGAGCGGCATCCTTGGACAAGGGCTGTCCTTTGTTCTAGGGAGTGTGTACCTCCCTGGTGTTACCGTTCACCGTGCAGTCTATGGTTTGGCTGAAAGTTGAGCCACGGGGGTTCTAGAAATGAGGGGTGACTAAGAGACACAGTCTCAGGGGTCCCACCAGTTTCTGTCACACCAGTAAGGCTGTTCTTTCTTATGATTTTGAGTTCTACACTTTCCCCATTCTATCCTGGACCTCCTGTTTTGATCCCTTTCAGAACAGTCAGCAGTGGCGGCCGGGCACCATCTAGTTCTTATGATCTTAGGGTCACGGAGGCTAGCGTTCACAAGGTCCATGAGTCCTAATCCTTTCCACACGTCTCTGATTTCCTTCACTCTTCTTTGCTCTGGACCCGGAGAGACCAATAGTTGTACATTAGATGGCTGCTCACAAGCATTTAAGACCCTAGTCGCTACTCACCAAAGTATGATGTAGAACATAGTCTTTGTGGATTTGTTATGCCAATAACATGATATGCTCAACTATATTCGTGGATATCTTTGCAGCATATATATGTAAATACATATGTAGAGAGATTCTGTCAAACCTACATACATCCATAGGTGTAAGGGGCGTTTGTATACTTTTATCAGTTAAGATGTTCTGACTGCAGGAGAAAATTCTAATCTCTCTGATTTAGACAAAAGGCATAATCCCAAGTGTGAAGTCCAAAGCGGACCAGCTCCAGGGCCAGGATGGTCTGGTCTCAAGCTGCTGTGCTCTGAGCTCAGCCTTCCTCAGCTTTTGCTGGAGACTCCACTGTAGGATAAAGCACTAGACTGCAAAATTGGTTTGAAGCACGAGGCCGGCTGTTCAAACTCATCAGCTGCTCCTTGGAAACCCTATAACAGGGTTGCTATGAGTCAGAACCGACTGGACAGCACTTAACGACAACAACAGTACCTCTCCTCAAAGGAACCCTGGTGGTACAGTGGTTAAACACTCAACTGCTAACTGAAAGGTTAGCAGTTCAAGCCCACCAGCTGCTATGCAGGAAATAAGACCCCATGGGCTGGTGTGGCACTGTGGGTTAATGTGCTGGACTGCAAAGTCAGTTTGAATCGCAAGGTCGGCAGTTCAAGCTCACCAGATGCTTCTCCGAAACCTATACAGGGTCGTTATGGGTCGGAACTGACTCAACAGTACTTACCGACAACGACAACAAACCCCCTGGGCATTTCTAGTCTGTCCTGTAGAATCTCTATGAGGAATCAACTCCACAACACCAACCACCTTGTCTCGTGGTTGCACGATGGGTACTGGAGTTCAGGTGTACGATCTCGGAGGAGGAAGGGCCCTCCCACAACCCCCTTCATGTCCCAATCGGCCAGATCTACATCATGTGTTCATGCCTTAGCCAATCAGTGGTAAGAAGATAAGACCACCCTGAGTGGTGGACGCTCATTTGGATGTCCCCCAGGCTTGGGTCCCCTGAACACAAACATAACCCTGAAGGGCAGCTGGCCCTGGCTGCTCACTCCTGTGTTTAGTGGGAGCTCTGTGAAGAAGGTGTGGGAGGAGCAGGGGTTGGGTAGGCACCAGCACCACTGTCTGGGTTCTGAAGTTTCCTGTGAGAGGAGAGGAGGCACCCTGTTGCCTGGTAGGCCCTTGAAGCCAGTGTCTGCAGTACCCAGCATGCTCCACTCCTGCCTTCTGGGTGGTGAGTTCTGCTGACATTTTCAGATAAAGCCCTGGCTCTGTTTGCTCCATTTCTGCCACCTCACCCTGAGTTTACTCACTTCAGCTCACCTGTGAAACGGAGAGTCCCTTTGGTAAAGGATATGCTTCTCCCCCTGAGAAAAATCCCTCACCAGACACACTCAAATTCCGTTTGTGCCCGGATGAGTCCTTGTCAAGCTGAACCTGTTTCAGACGGACACACGAATCAGGAAAATCCAAGTGCATTCCAAAGCACCTAGAGATTCAGAACCCTTTCTAAGAAACTTCCCGGCATCCATGCAAGGAGGCCACACAACACTGTAAGATGGCATCCTCTCTTGCAAGCAGAAACCAAGAGGAAACCCTGTATTTGTTCTCGAGGGCCCGAGGGAAGAAAAATCAGTATCATTAGGTATCACTAAGACGTCTAAGGTCAGGGACAAAGAGTGGCAGGCAGGGAGGGAGGGAGAAAGCCCAAACACAACAGAAAGACAACTGCGTGGTCCTGGCTGGACACCACCAACGTCTTAGAGGCCACCAGGGCCCACAGGCCAATAGAACCCAGTCTCAAGAGAGCTATGGGAAGCTCTGGGACCTTTCAGGGGCCGAGACCCTCTTCCCAGCAATGGGAATTGGCCTC